GCTCTGGCTGATACACAGTGGCAGAGCTGGAGAGCACTCCAGAGCTTCTAAACTCACTTAATTTCGATCCCTCACTAGTTCCCTAACCTGGACCTTGTGAATATTTTGCCACCAGTGGTTAAGACTTTGTTAATCATACCTAAGATTTTAGTTGATGTATTCTTATGTCTTTTAGGAAACACTGTGAGGGCCTCAATGGCTGTTAACCTTCTAGAGGAGCAAGAGAGCTAATCCATACATTTTGGGTCAGTTCTAGGAGTCTCAGAGTTGATTAGCTCACATGATAAGTCCGCACAGATGCCCGGGGCCCTCCAATATTCTTGGCTTCTCAGTCTATCTTGGGATACAGAGAAGTGGCTTCAGTCATCCATAGATCTTGAGTAGAATCTGGGGCCATTAATCAAACCAAATTCATTATCTTTTTTTTTCCCTTTTTTTGTGAATCAGATACTATGTCCACACCCTGGGCTTGGCTGGGCAGCAGCCCTCAGTGAGTAACACTGACTATGGGGAGTTCACATGGCTTCACCCAGTTGTTAGTCTGGGCTGGAAATTCATCAGCCCGGTGGGCTTTATCAGCTGGTTTAGCTGAATGTTTTTCTCCCGGGGATAAACATGCTGGATGACTCATATCTGTAACATTGCCCTCATGACAGAAAATGTTCACCCCACTGGCTGGCTGGCTTTCCTGCTGGCCTTTTGGCCAGGCCAAGATTTCTGGACCTGTGCTTAGCCCTTTGGGCCAGTATTTTGTTCAGAGCAGCCTGTGCAGGTAGCTCTTGCTGGAACCAGAACCCAGCAGGCCAGGTATTTAAAAAAAAACAACAACAACAACACAATAAGCTCTGGGTGGAATGCAGCAGATCTATGTGAGAACCCTGGCTCTCTCTCTCTTTTTTTTTTTCCAGGGCTGAGGACCTAACCCAGGGCCTTGCTGGGCTAAACCCCCAGCCCCAACCCTGGCTCTCTTAAATCAATGTTTTCTTTTTAAAAAATAGCCTGGTTAGCTGGGCATTGGTGGCTCAGGCCTGTAATCCTAGCTACTCAGGAGGCTGAGATCTGAGCAACTCAGATCTCATAGTTTGAAGCCAGCTCCAGACAGGAAAGTCTGTGAGTGCCAGAAGGGGCACTGTGGCCCAAGTGGTAGAGCTAGGCTAGCCTTGAGCAAAAGTAGCTCAGGGACAGTACCCAGATGGAGTTCAAGCCTCAGGACCAGAAAAGAAAAAAAAGCCTGGTAATTTTCATTTTTTTGTCTCGTGTGTGTGTGTGTGTGTGTGTGTGTGTGTGTGTGTGTGTGTGTGTGTGTGTGTGTTGGTACTGGGGCTTGAAATCATGGCCCAAGTGATAGCCTCAGGACCAGAAAAGAAAAAAAAGCCTGGTAATTTTCATTTTTTTGTCTCGTGTGTGTGTGTGTGTGTGTGTGTGTGTTGGTACTGGGGCTTGAAATCATGGCCCAAGTGATAGCCTCAGGACCAGAAAAGAAAAAAAAGCCTGGTAATTTTCATTTTCCATTTTCTGTCTTGTGTGTGTGTGTGTGTGTTTTTGTCTCGTGTGTGTGTGTGTGTGTGTGTGTGTGTGTGTGTGTGTGTGTACTGGGCTTGAAATCATGGCCCAAGTGGTATCCCTTAGCTTTGTCTACTCAAGGCTAGCATTCTACCACTTGAGCCACAGCTCAACTTCTGGCTTTTTGGTAGTTAATTGGAGATGAGTCTTTCACAGACTTCCCTACCCATGCTGGCCTCACTCACAATTTTTTTTTTTTGTTCTTTATCTCTCCTACATATTATAAAACTACAAGCCATGGGTTCTTGGGTCTTTATATTGCTTTCAGTGGTGTCTTCTGCTAGCTTACCAATTTACCCACTTATTTTAGCAGCCATTATTTCAGTGATTCACCATTTTGATTCTCCCCAAATACCTCTAAAATCTCTTATGGCCAGGTGCTGGTGTCTCATGCTTGTAAATCCTGGCTACTCAGGAGGCTGAGATCTGAGCATTGCAGTTCAAAGCCAACCTGGGCAGGAAAGTTAATCTCCAATTAACCACTGGAAAACCAGAAGCGGTGCTGTGGCTCAAGTGGTAGAGTGCTCACCTTGAGCTGAAGAGCTCAGGGACAGCATCCAGGCCCAGAGTTCAAGCCCCATGATTGACAAAAAAAAAAACTTTTATGTTGGGCTGGGCACCCGTGGCTCATGCCACTCAAGAGGCTGAGACTTGAGGATCACAACTTCAGAGGTAGCCTAGGCAAGTCCCTGAGACTTTTTTTTTGCTGGTCCTGGCATTTGAACTCTGGGTGCTATCTCTGAGCTTTTTTGTGCTCTACCACTTAGCCATTGTGCCACTTTCGGTCTTTTCTTAGTAGTTTATTGGAGATTAGAGTCTGCTGGACTTTCCTGCCTCAGCTGGCTTTGAACTTTGATTCTCAGGTCTCAGCCTCCTGAATAGCTTAGACTACTGGTGCCTGGCCCTTAAATCTCTCATCTCCAATTAAACACACACACACACACACACACACACACACACACACAATTTTATAACTATAAAATTCTTAGAACAGCTGTGTGACTTTGAATTATGTAGGGATTTCTTACTATACTACAGGTACAGCAATCAAAGAAAAGTTTGTACTATTATCTTTTGGTGCCAGTTGGGAGGTTTGAACTCAGCCTGCTGCTGTTTGGCCTTTTTATTCACAGCTAGTATTCTCCCATTTGATCCATTTGAACCAGCTTTTTGCTGGTTAACTGGATATAAATCTCATTGGCTTATCTGCCCAGGCTAGCTCTGAACCATGATCCTGAGATCAGAACCTCCTGAGTAGCTGGGATTATAATAGTGAGGAGCCACTGGTGCCCAGCTAAATTGGAGGTTTTAAATGAAAAGGGCAGCAAAAGACAACCGACAAAGGGAAAAATATTTGCAAAGCATACATCCCCCAAAGGTCAAGTACCTATAGACTCAATTTAACAAGAGATAACTGTTACAAAATGGGAAAAGGATTTGAATAGAATGAAAATTGAGAATATAGTTGTCAAAGTGGTTGTGTTTGGAAGTGAAAGAGGGTGAAGATGTACAGACTGGAGGCAATAAGCTATTGTTTACAAGAAACCTTGGAAGCACTTTCGGGGTCTAGATCAGAATTCTCAACAAGGAATGGCTGCATGTAATGACCCTGCAGGGTCTTGCTTATGTAACTGATCTTGTTGATCCTTCTGCCTCAGCCTCCTGAGAACACAAGCATGGGCCTCCCCATCTGTTGGAAAACACTTGATCCTATGTTAGGACACTGCTGGAATCTTCTAGACAGAGGTCAGAGTAGTGTTAAACATTCTTAAAGGGACAGCACAGTCCTGCTTCCCCACACAGGGAAAATGACCAGCATAAAATGTTACTAGGGCTGGGTTTGAGAAACTGCATATCCAGTGTATGTCAGTTTGACCAAAAAGTCAATGAAAGTGATCTGTGAAAATAAACTGAACAATCTAATAACCAAACTACAAAGCAACCCTCCAGACTTTTGTACAAGGTCCATACAGCCATGCCTGGGCTATTTGATTAAATAGCAGGGGTAAGGCCTTAGGAATATGGAATTTGCTGTCCAAAGCACTTCTTTTTGGTGGTACTGAGGCTTGAACATAGGGCTTCTAGCTCGCTAACTAGGTTCTCTATCCTATGAGACATTGCCAGTCAAAAGAACTTTTTCATTTTTCTTTTTTTTTGAGTTGGTCCTGGGGCCTGAACTCTGGGCCTGGGCACTATCCCTCAGCTTTTCAGCTCAAGGATCGTGCTCTACCACCTGAGCCACAGCGCCACTTCTGGACTTTTTTGCTTATGTGGTGTTGAGGAATTGAACCCAGGGCCTCATGCATGCAAGGCAAGCACTCTACCACTGAGCTACCTTCCCAGCCCCCTTTTTCCTAAATTTAATCAACCAGAAAATGAAAATATTTCCTGACATGGGACTTATAAGCAGCCATTAAGAATTTTTCAGGTAGCCAGGAGCTGGTGGCTTATGCCTGTAATTCTATTCAGGAGGATGAGATTTCAGGATCGTAGTTTGAAACCAGCCAGGGGAGAAAAGCCCACAAGACTCTTATGTCTAATTAGCCACTCAAAAACCGTAAGTGCAGCTGTGGCTCAAAGAGCACTAGCCTTGAGCAAAAGAGCTCAGTGACAGTGCCCATGTCCTGAGTTCAACCCTATGACTGAAAAAAAAAAAAAAGAAATTTTCAGGTGCTAAGTGGTTTAAGACTATTTTAGAAGAAATTAAGAGCATTATGTCCAAGGCTTTAGAAGAATTTTAAGTTGTTGGGGCAGTAGTGCTATTTTGTGTTTGTGTTGTTGGCAAGGACAAGATTTCTTTTACCCATCAAGACTCCATTCCTTAGACAATTCACTTCTCTAACTTGAATATTAGGAAATCCCTCAAAATCAATACTCCTGATGTTTAGCTCAGGGCCTGACTAAGGCTTATCTCCATACTTCAGGTGGGGTGAAACATCTGCCTCACTCAGCATCCTTTCAAACTTCAGTACTTTACCTAAAGAGCAGACAGACATGAAGTGTCCAGGAACGGCTACATCCCAGTGCTACCAGGCTTGCCCATCTGACTGCCTTGGCTAGGAGTACAGAGGCAGAGCAGTGAAAGCCAAAGAATCCAGTGAAAGTTACACGTACACTGGGCACTTTAGCCGATAAACTCTATCATAGGACCCTGCTCTGCTGATTAGAGCTAGTATTCTTACAAGGCTGTTACACTCGGTGGCTAAGTCATTCCAAACTCCCTTAATTTAAAAGGCACTAGAAATCACTTTTAGTATGTCAGCTTTAAGCATTACAGATGCTGATACTGTTTAGTAAAATGAAGTGTGAGTGGCACAGAAATAAAATTTGAGCAGCTCATAATATAGTGAATAGCAAAGTTACACAGGCATTGCTAACCCCAATTAAAGATTTATTGTCTATTCATAATCAGTATTAAAAACCACAGAAAGGAAACATAGGCTTTAAAAAGGTAGGCTTTTAATAACTGCTCTTTATCACCAGGTTAAGTCATGCAGTTACAAAGTAGTTAGAAATTTGAAAGGATATGGTTAAAAAAAAAGTGTTCATTTTTACATAAATAGTATCTAGTAATTCATTGGGACCCCTACTGTTCAAAAGGACTCGACCAACTAATCCCCAAACCAAACACTCAACCTCAGGCTGTTTCTAGCCTGCTGCTGAAGCCAAGTGCAGCATGATTAGTCTCTAAAAGGAGGACACGGTCAAGCCACTCACTGGAAGGGTTCAGACTCCATCAGACTCCAAAGGGAGCTCAAATGTTTTTTTTTCCCCTTTTCTGGAACATTCTACTTCAATTATGGTTCAATGACACAACAGAAGCTCTTCAAAAGGGAACAACTAACATGATAAGGAAGTTACTGTATTCTTTGGACTATGTGTTGTAATTGTAGTTATTTAGCAAATTCTCTAAAATAGCCTCCCTCATTTGCAGATAGGTCTCTGTAGGACTATTTTTGCTGGACAGTAATATATGACTGATAAACTACAAATGATACTGTTTTATGTTATAAAAATACTAGCTTTCATCATTTATTATGTTTATAGGCTTTCACTGCTTGAGTCAAGTTAGGCTTGTTAAGTAATTAAAGGCAATATTACAGCAGCATGTTCTTATTTTTTTCTGGAAGAATAAAATGCATTAGGAGAAACAGCTTTCATTCTGGTTTTGCTGATGTGCAATACCAGTAACGCACTTGAGGACCATGCCACTTTCTGAAAATGCCATGTACTACTTCTTCCATGTGTCAGAGTCATGTGCCCAGGCTTGTCTGGAGATAAAGTAGTAGGTGGCTGCTCTTAATGCCCTTCCTGGCAGCAGCACTGACTGTGGAGAAGAGCCTGGAATGAGGCAGCAAAGCCAGGTGGGAGAGACCTTTTTATTAAAAGGCAAAATTTCTAAATGGTTTTCTAGCTTAAGTGATTTATACTTTCACATTCCATTTGTACATGATCCTCTAAACTTAGTTTCTTTCTTAAGGGGCTGATTCAGACTGACTTGTTGAGAACAGTGTCCATTACCTAACGAGTCATAAGAGAGAGAGAGAGTTCTGTGGTTACATGTAAACTTGTGATAGGTCGGCAGAAGTTATGGGTGAAGAGGGTGAGGAACGCAGCCACAATCCATCTATGTGAAAGTCACACCAGCCTCGTTGTACACTTTGAAGACTTTCTCAATGGCGTTGACATAGGCAGCTGTTCTCAGGTCCAAGCCCAGGTTATACTTCATGGCTGTGCGCATAATTTGCTAGAATAAGGAAGAAAAGGCAGAGAAGACCACATGACTTATGTAAGCTGGGACATGACATACAAAGTACACAGAGGGATCAAGGAAGTGCTGGTGGCCAAAGAAAACTTCTGTGGCAACAGACTTCCCTCTAGGCAGGAAGGACTAATCTTATAGAATATGAATGATTATTATCTATGCAGCAGCCAAGAAGTCACCCTGTGATCTCTGTCCATTAGGCATCCAGTTATCCCAGCTCTCAGCCTCTTGAGTAGCTGGATTACAGGTGTGAGCCACAGTAGGTGGTTGGATTTATAACACTTTAATAAGATCTCAAAAAAGAACTATCAAAACAAAGCACAGCTTTCTTTATCAGTATCTGCTCATGCTACTCCAACTTGGAGATCCAATGAGAGAATCTGAGCTCAAGAAGGAATTAGAAAAATTAGACTCACTTATTTTTGGCCTTGTCTGAAATAGGAATTAAATGGTCAAAAAATCCTTACTTATACCAAATTCTATAGTAAGATAGCTTCCTACAGCAGTCACGTTGTGAAAGACGGAGCAGCATTTCAGTCTATTTGGTTATTCAGTATTTAGCCAACTACCAAGCATTCCTTTTTAACTCAGCCTGATTTATTGCTGAGGGCTGAGAGACTTATCTGAGGGCTGACAACAGTTCTCTGAGTGTGAACAGGCATAAATCTACTGCACATAAATGTGGATCATGTACCAGATTGGTGTTTGCTTTCTTTCACCACACACAATCTGTCCAGAGATAACAGCTGAGCAGAAAGCAGACGCCATCTGCATACCTACCCGGGCAGACCGCTCCATGGTGTAGGCTAAGCCAGAGTGCACGATATCTTTCTCTGATGCACCCTGTTAGGAAAAAGAACACAACTTTAACAAAATCATACAAAGACTTGATTTGTGTCTCTAGAAGGATTCAGTCTTTTTTCATTTTTGGCTAGAGCTTGAACTCAGGGTGGGTCTCTACTATTTAAGCCACATATCCAATTTTGTTTTATGCTGGTTTTATCTATCCTATCCTGTTCTGTCCTGTCCTATCCATCCATCCATTGCTGGTCCTGGGCCTTGAACTCTGGATCTGGGCACTGTCCCTGAACCGTTTTTGTTGTTGCTGTTGTTGTGTCTTGAACTCTGGGCCTGGTAGCGGTCCCTGAGCTCTTCAGCTCAAGGCTAATGCTCTACCACTTGAGCCACAGTGCCACTTCTGGTTTTCTGGTGGTTTACTGGAGGTAAGAGTCTCATGGACTTTTCTGCCTTGGCTGGCTTTGAACCACAATCCTTAGATCTCAACCTCCTGAGTAGCTAGGATTATAGGCATGAGCCACCAGTGCCCAGCTTGTTCCTGAACTGTTTTGCTCAAGGTTAGCACTCTACCACTTGAGCCACAGCTCTATCTACTTCTGGCTTTTTTTGGGCAGTTAATTAAGATAAGAGTCTCATGGACTTTTCTGCCTGAGCTAGCTTTCAACTGTTAGATCCTCAGATCTCAGTCTCCAGAGTGGCATTAGCCACTGGCACCCTGCATATGCCAGTTATTATTTTTTTTTTGTTGGTCGTGGGGCTTGAACTCTGGGCCTGGGCGCTGTCCCTCAGCTCTTCAGCTGTAGACCTGCACTCTACCACTTAAGCCTCAGCCCGACTTCCGGCTCTTTCTGCTTATGTGGTGCTGAGGAATCAAACCGAGGGCCTCATGCATGTAAGGCAAGCACTCTACCACTGAGCCAACTTCTCAGCTCCATGCCAGTTAGTTTTGAGACAGGGTGTCACTTCCTGCCTGAGCTGTCATACACCTTCTTCAGGTGTTTTTTTCTTTGTTGCTGGGATCACAGGTATGTGCCACTGTGTTTAGCTTCATTCCTTGGAGTAAGTTAGTCCCTCTTGTAATGTCATTTTTCTGCTCTAGCTGGCCTCCAGGCCAGTGACCCAACAGTGACCCTCCTAGTCTTAGTCTCTCATGTAGCTTGGGATGACAGGCAGCTGCTACAGTACTCGGTTATGGATTGAGAAGGAGAAATTCACAAACTTTCTGCCTAGGTTGGCCTTGTTGAACAGTGATCCTTCCATTCTTGGTCTCCCAAGTAGCTAGGATTATAGGTGCAATCCACTGGTGACCAGCTGATTACCAAGGACTCTTAAAATACCCTTTTCTTCTCAATAAAGACTTGTAATTTCTGTACAGTATCAAGATACAATATGTTTTTTCTTTTTGGTACTGAGAATGGAACCCAGGGCCTCAGGCATGCTAGACAAATGCTTTACCACTGACCTACATATACCCAAGCCAAAGCATAGTATCTTCATAATCTCTTCATTGAGGCAGCTACATTTTAACCACAATTTAGTTTTAATGATGTTGGATAGAAAGAAATACTCATTAAGTAAGATCATGGTAAAACACTGAAACGGAATAGTATAGCCAAGAAACCTGAGGGTAAGTAGCAAGATTAGCACCTCTAACTCATCATGGCATTCACCTCAGTTTTCCAGGTGAACAGCAACACTGGACAGGATACAGGAAGGAATCTTGCTAACGCTACAGTTCTAGGGTAGAACCAAAAGATCTTAGCAACCCTTTAATTTTACTAATGAGGAACAGACAGGCTAGAGAAGGTTATAGATGACCTCCAACCCCATCAAGTCAGCTTATCTCTTTCCTATACAAATTGAATCTATAGATGAATTTCTTTGAATAGACTTATCTTGAAAAGCTTTCTATGAAATTTAAAGGTAAGTAACTACAACTACCACTCTTAATGTAACATATGCAGCTATAAAGAGGGTCATTAACACAAAGTTATCTGTATTGAACATCTTGATGACATACTGTATTCATTTGAGAAGGTATACTTACATAACTTTTACATTAAACTCTGTTTTGGTCTGTTAAATTAGGGAAAAAGAAAACTTCCTCTGTATGCTGAATACTACTGTTTCATTGGTTGATTCATACATTCAAACATAACCGAGTACTTCCTAGATGCCAGGTTCTTTTTGGTATTAGGGACACAGCTGAGGAAAAAATGTTTGCATAGAGCCTACATTCTAGTGGGGTGAGGGATAATGCATATACATGGACTTAAAACCATGAGGCATTTTGAATCTAGGTAAAGGCTCAGGTACTAAGGCCTCCCAATACTAAGAGGTAGGAAGATGAGCAAAAGGCAAGCAGAATTAGCAAGCAGGATGGAAAGACAGCAAGAATGTAGTGTTCTGAGAGCTAAGAGATGCCAATATCTCCAGGCTGCTGTGATCAATCAATAGTGAGATGAGTTGCTGATGAGTCTGGTTCAGATGAGGACTGAGAAGCTGGAGACAAGCCATGTAATGCGTAGAACAAGAGCTGAGCTTAACTAGAAGCACAAACATCTGATCTACTACAAGAGAAGATGGCTTAAGTAAGGGTAGGGAAAAGGAACAGGGTAGGTATGCCCAAGTTCTTGGCCTGCTTCTACTTTCCCCATGATAAGACAGTCGCTCATAAGCTGGAGAGCAAGAGGAAGGAAAGGTGAGGAGGAACACAATGCAATCAGTGAGAGAGGAGGAACACAATACAATCAGTGAGAGAGAAGAGAGGAATCTGATTCCTGAGCGCCACATGGGGCTACAGGTCAGGATTTAAGTGCTGGCAAGTCTGCAAATACAGAGGCAGTGGCATGGAGGAGGCAGAGAATTCAAGCCTGGTGTTGTGTTGCCTATATGAAACAAAATGATCAGTTAATAATGATGGAGCATGGAACTTAGTGAGAGAAGTACGAGTACTTTGTGAGGATATTAGGTCAGAAAATGGGATGCAACCCTTTAGCTGGGGGTAAGTTTTTTTCTTTTTGGGCTGTATGAGGTTGAATGCAAGATTTTCCATTTGCTACAGTGCTCTACCATATACCCAACCTGTTTTTAGTTTCCTGGTAAGGTCTTACTCTTGTCTGGGGCCAGCCTTCAACTAAGATCTTTGACCTTTTAAGTAGCCAGGATCATAGGTCTGTACATCATGCCTGAGTTTATTATTTATAGTGGGGTCTTACTAAATTTTTGCCTAGGCTTGCTTTGAACTGATCTTTGCTTCCTGAGTAGCTGGGCTTTACAGGTGTGAAGCTGCAGTTTTTTGTTTTCTGAGGCAGGGTTTCACTAACCAAAACCCAGGCCAGACTCCCTACATAACACCCTAGTACTGGAACTATAGATGCATGGTAACATGCAGTTAAAAAATGCATTTTTGACTGCTAAGACTCCTTGAAATCAATGAGAGTGAAATATAGCACTACAAGTCTAAAACCAGAGGATACAAAATCATTTAAACACTGAAAGACCAGTAAGTTTACCAAAGATTGTTTAAAAAAGGGGAAAGAATGGGGCTGGGAATGTGGCTTAGTGATTGAGTGCTAGCTTTGAGCAATAGCAGCTCAGAGACAGTGCCCAAACCACCCTGAATTCAAGCTCCAGGACTGGCAAAAAAAAAAAAAAAGGTGGGGGGAGGGGAGAAGGCTGGGTATTGGTGGATACCTATAATCCTAGCTACTCAAGAAGCTGAGATCTGGAGGATCACAGTTTGAAGGAAGAAGTCAGCCTGGGCAACGAAGTCCATGTACTTGTTGTCAGCAGAAAAGTCCATGGGACTCCATCCTTAAATAACCAGCCAAAAGCCTTCTCATTGCACTGCCAGTCACTCATGATGGAAATATGCCCTAAATTCTGGCATGCAGCAAAGACTTTAAAAAAAAAGGCACAGTTGTACATGGGAATCAGGCTTTCCAGCCAGAGAGCAGGAATTAAGAGAGTTGTGGTTCTGGGAAGAAGGAGGTCATGGGGGATATCACTGCGTGCTATAGTTTTTATGTTACCATCTGTGACTGACTATATGTGAAGTGCCAGACTCACCGATATTCTGTCCTGGAATTCTGCTGTGGGCACGACAGGAATTGTTCCACCATGCTTTCCGAATTTTCTTTCTAAGCTCTCTTGAACAGACACTATAAAAAGCCAAGAGATCAAGGTAAGATACTGCTGGTAGAGGAAGGGGGAAATAGTAAGAACTCAAAGTAGTCCCAAACTATATCCATAACCCTAAACCAATAGTTTTAGATCCTTAGCACGAGTGACATGGAAGGGTTAATCATTAAAAACTCAGAAAGGAACACAAGACTGCCAAATTCCTGTGTAAATGTGAATTTAGGTCACTGCTCTGTTTCCATAACACCCATTACCAGAGGTTTCCTTTAGTTCTACTAAAAAGAAAATGCTGGGGAAAAAGAAAAGGCAATCAATGGACACTTTGCCAGCTTTTCAGTGACCAAGTACAGGAGCTCAGCTGGAGGCTCCAGTCTCATTTCAGCCTGATGAGAAATTCTCCTCTTAACTGTGGAGCTGACTTTACTTAGACAAAAACAAGTATTCTCATCAGAGGACTCAAAACATTTCAGAACTTTTCGAGGAGCAACCAGAAATGGTTGAATGGATGAATTTCAATGATAAAAGGTAGATGCTTAAAAGACTTATAAAAACAAACAATATTAACTTGCAGATTACATTCTGGAATATTACTTTGTAATATAAAAATCTTAGTAAAACATATCAGTCAATACATTGAATAGTTAATGAAGCATATGATTTTTTTTTCCAGCCTTTTAATTGTCCCACATTATTATTTCTGGAGAACAAGAATATGGGAACTCACTGAGCAAGTGGTAGTTAGAATCTCTTTCATATTTGAAGGTCAGTCGACCATAGCTGACATGATTTAGATTCTTCAGCCACTCAAAGTAAGACACTGTCACTCCTCCAGCATTCAAGTAGAGATCCTATACACAAATTGTGACAACAAAGAAATAAGAACATGAACATGCTGAGTACCTGTGGCACACGCCTGTAATCCTAGCTACTCAGGAGGTTCAGATCTGAGTATCAAAGCCAGCCCTGAGAAGAAAAGTCCACGAGACACACAAGTCCAATTAACCAGTAAAATGCCAGACTTGAGACATAGCTTAAGTGGTAAGAGCACCAGCCTAGAAAGCGTAAGGCCCTGAGCTTCAAACTTCAGTACTACCAGCACCAACACCAAAAACAACAATTCATTATATAAAAACAAGTAAATCAATTTTCCAGTTATTTCTTGTAGTCAAGAAATTCAATACCAAGGCAGTCTAAGCTTTAAACAATTCCACAGTATCAGAAATTTCAGAGTTAATGACTGTTTTCCTTCTCCCATTACCCTTCAGTAGCCTATTCAGTTAAGTTCAATTTCTTACATGCTTCTCTCAAAAGAGGCCCTTCAAAATGTATCCTCTGCCCACACTTACTTCCAATGACATACCAGGAACACATGCTCCTCACAGTAGTTTTTCCTTTATTTTTTGATACATGATCTTACTGTGTAGCCCAGGCTGGTCTCAAACTCACTATCCTTTTGCCTCAGCTTTCTAAGTGCTGAGATTAGAAGCATGAACCATCATGCTTGATTCACTTTATTTTCTCAAAATAAAGGAAAACAAACAACACAATCTGGGAAACAAGCAGGCCTTCTCTCTCCTAATTAATTCCTAGTGAAAGACACTTATGGTTTCAGATACTGTTGAACATAGATGACTTACTGGAATAACCATGATGTTCCTCTCCAGGAAAATCTTATCAGCTTCTGGAGTGGTCGGTCCATTGGCACCTTCAGCAATGATCTGCAAGAGTCAGGGACAGATGGAAAATGCCAGAAACACAGTCATTGGGCAAGAGGTGTGGATAGGAGGATGAGAGGAAAAGCATAATTTTAATTAAACTTTACAAGTTATTTTGCTCTACTAAATTTATGAGTATATAATGCTAATTTTGTCTCTATTTTTCTTCCTTACATTTTGGAAGTTGCACAACTCTGAACATACTGAAAATTATGAGAGTACTTTAAATGTGTGGGATTTATGGTATATGCCACCAATAAAGATGTTAATAAAATGAGATTTTTTACTCAGATCACCCTAATTTTATAAGACAATGGTAATGCTTGCACCTTGGCTTTGACTCTGGGTGCGTTGGACTTGGTTAACTGCTTCTCGCTGGCAGCAGGGATCAGTATGTCACAGTCAGCTTCCAAGATACTTCCCTCATAGACCTTTGCCTTGGGGAAGCCCAGAATCGATCCATGTTGCTGTAATTGATTGAAAAACAGAATTAATGCCTGTTCCAAGGTCTAGATGGCTTTATTTTGTGCCTACTACATAAAAATGTATTCATTAAAAGCTTTTAAAACTGTATTAATAATTGAAAAAAGAGCAATGGGAATAGGTTTAAATAAGACAAGGCTAAGGGTAATCAAACTGTTCTAGAAATTAGATTAACATACCAATTTGAAATCTTCCAGTTCCTTTGGGTCAATACCATCTGGATTCCATATACTCCCATCAGATTCACCAACACCAACACATTTAGCACCAAAACGATGTAAATATCTCATAGAGTGCAGGCCCACATTACCAAATCCCTGTGAAGAACAATTATAGATGACATAAAAAGGCTATGTATGAATCTTTTTTTTTTTTTTTTTTGGTTTGTCGTAGGGCTTGAACTCTGGGCTTGGATGCTGTCGCTGTGCTTTTCAGTTCAAGGCTAGTGCTCTACCACTTGAGCCACAGCACCACTTCTGGTTTTCTGGAGGTTAATTGGAGGTAAGAGTCTCACGGACCTTCTTGTCCGGGCTGGCTTTGAACTGCGATCCTCAGATCTCAACCTTTTGAGTAGCTAGGAATACAGGTGTGAACCATCGGCGCCCGGCATGGATCATATTCTGACCAATGTACTCCCATGGTTTCTCATTCCATAGTAATGACTACTCCACTGTGGTCATTCTCCAATGACCAGTGGTTCCTATGGCTGTATAAAGGTATGTCCCTAGGTTAGAGGAATACAATCTCTATTTTAAAGTATCATTCATTTTAATTTGCAGTCCCTTAGATTCACATATCAGATAATTCTGAGCCAATGGACAAACTTTTCTGCACATTCACAACAGTTGTAGAAAACTGTTATGTCCCCAAGATACAACTAATATATAAAGAAATAAAAAAATAATTCACTAGGGAGACGAATTAAACCAAGGTTAAAGGAAAAGGATGTATTATACAGGAAACAACCACACTAAAAACCTAAAAGATTCAAAAGAATAAAATTTAAAGCTATACAAATCTATAAACGTTAAAAAAATGTAAATTATAAACTTTTTTTTTTTTTTTACCTGAACAACAAATGTCTTATCCCCAAATCCTGGTGTCATCCCTAAAATGCTCATGTAAGAAGCTTCATTGATGAAATTTTCAATCCCATGGAACACACCACGGCCAGTTGCAGAGATGCGCCCATGGATGCCACCTTGACTGATGGGTTTACCAGTAACGCAGGCATGTGCATTAATATCCTGCAAGAGGAGGCATGACTTAAAGAAGGAAATAACTCAAGTCCCACGATCAACCAACTAAAGTCAAAGCACATTTTCATTTAACAAAAAATACTCTCATGAAAAAATGTGTAACAGGAGGCTTCTAAGTTCAAGACCTGTCTAGGATATATGGTAAGGCCTTGTCTCAAAATATCAAACAAAATGTGTAAAGGGTGACATGGTGGCACACACCTGTATTCCCAGCACTTAGGAAGCTGAGGCAGGAAGAACTTGAGAGTTTGAGGCCAGCTTGGGAGGCCTAGTGAAACCTCAAAAAGCTGAAAAGAAAAAGGGTGTAGTGCCAAGTGCTTGCATGTCTGTAAGTATGCATATATCTAAAGCACAATTCACTAATAGGGACAGGCCTCATTTTTTCAACTTTCTGTTCTAGAAAATATAGAAAGTTCCTGCCAGGAGAAAATAAGAGTTTAGATATTAGTATCAAATGCAATAACCAATTATTATAAAAGTAGGCACATTCAACCTGAAGCTATTATTTCAATGGAGCACAAGTCATTCTGAGTCAAGGTATATACATTCCACTGGTCTTAATCTACCACAAGACTTGACTGTATCACCAAATCAGCTAGAGACAGGAAGAGGCAATGTGCAGCATTCTTGGATGGGGAGATTCAGAAATATTGCATTCTTCTGACAAGCTATTCTTCTATTTTAAAAAGGGAACTTGGAAAGATACTTAAGTTTATTTAAAAGAGAGGAGGAAAGTATTTAAGAATGTTTAAAAAGGTATATGTGGGCAAGACACTGAGGACTGTGCCAGTGTGGGTGCCAGTATCACTGGCCAGCATCATTAGCTCTGCAAAGCGAGAGGCATCAATCCGCTTGAGTTTTTACCAGTCATCTCTTGGCCCTCCCCTCTCTCTTTCCACTCTGGGTGTACATGTATACTCTTGGTCAAAATTAGGTTTAATTAGAAGAAAGGAAGGAGGTTTCCTTCAAAGCATCACACCTACTACAAACAAGGCAAGCAGAATACTGGAACAGACACATGGATCATGAACTGGAGAGCAGAGGCAATCTCCCTATATATATAGGAAATCGGCAGAGGATTGAGGCAACTTGCTACCATTGATCATGTGCAGTGCCTAGTGTCACATCAAATTTCTATCCCCAATATTACGCTATGGTTGGAGAGTTAGTGACCTGGTCTTTATATTCATCAAGTATTTTTACATAGAGAATCTGTATAATTACCAACAGAAAGGAAGGAGGTTAAAACGGACAGTCTTATAAAGCACTATAGAAACAGTAGTTTTCCCACAGTTTCCTTTCATGAATAATTAAAACTTAACTGCAAGCCTTGTAAGTTGCCAAATGCTTCTGAACAGTGGAAATGCAAATGCTGAGGCTGAAGGAAAAACTGTCTGAGAACAGGCCTGGTGCCAGCTGCCAGGCTCACTAGCATACCTAATGGTCCTAGAACCTTGGGAGGTAGGGAGATAGCACCACTCTTCCATGCTGCACTGACAAGAGGACAGGGCTCTAGTCTAAAAAAGAGTAACCAAAACTATGACTTCCTCACAATTAAAAAAAAAAACAAAAAAAAACCCAAACCCCCCCCCCCCCCCAAAAAAAACCTATGACTTCCTTATATAGGCCTGGACTTTCAATTTCCTATCAGTTGAAGAAAGGTCTCTTATTAGTACAGTTTAGCTGACAATGCCTTGTAAACTTTTCTTGTGCTGCCATCACTGTGAACAAACTACAAGTAATAATGCTATTAGTTTACAATCCTCTCAATACAGGGTGAGGTGGCCTATAAACTTAGTTACTTAGAGATTCAGTCTGAAAGGATGGCAGTTTACGGCCTAGGCAAAAAGGATGGAAAGACCCCATTGTCAGAAAATAATGGGTAGGGCAAAGAGCACCTGCCATCCCAGCTCCAACAGGAAGTGTAATTAAGAAGATTATGGTCTGGTCCAAGCCAGGTAGGGCAAGAGTGAGACACTATCTCAAACACAGCCAAAGCTTTTTAAGGGTTGAAGGTGTGGCTCAAGAAGAAGAGCATATGCCTAGCAAGGGTGAAACCCTACATCCAAGCCTCAGCATTATACTCCAACCTACCAGCCAACCAACCAAAAGTGGAGCTCATTTCACATTAAAAGGTGACATATGGAAGTGGTCCTTTTGGGAATGGTGGTCCATACCAAGATTCTCTGATGTATCTAATATTGCTCCTGTTTATTTCAATGGATATGTGCCATTGACTAGATGTAAAATTTATACTTATTTTTAGTGTTTACTAAGCACTGTGGATAGTTCTAAGTGTACTAGATAATTCCCCATGTAAACTATGAAGTACTATTTATTCAAAGGTATAACTATTACTACCCAAGCTCCTGGCCACAGGATGTTACTGAGTGATACTCTATCAGGAAATACACCATACCTCTCTGTTTCTCCTTCTCCAAGACCTATCTTTCCACTTGGGCTCTTGAAAGACCTGCCCTGTTCACCTCCAACCCCTTTCCTGAGGGACATTGCTAATACTTTTCATCGCTCTCTCACACCAATGAATCTATGGTTCAAAGCCAGATTCTAAACTCTACCATTTCTATTCCTCTTATCTTCCAAATTCCTAGATGTTCAAATCCAACCCATTTTTAAGATTTATCCCTCTTTTAGAAACAGCAGCCTTGTATAACTCATGTATTATACTATTCTTGTACCTTATCTGCTCCTTTTAAGTGAAAGCTCTGGAGTCAGAATAGATTATCCTCTAACTCATGATCTTCCTGGATTCAACCTCCTGAGTGCTGAGATTTCAGGTACGCACTACCAGGCCCACCTTAGAATATTTCTTAAATAACCTATTTCAGTAGCTCATGAAATGAACTGCCCTAGCTGAGGACAGTCCCAGCCCCAGGGCCCAGCTCAACCTATGTTCACTATGTTTATAGTTTTATAACAAAGAAAAGAGAAGCAAAGTTATATGCATGGCAAGCTTATGATTTTTCAAAGGGAAGAGATGAACCCAGATTCCCAATTTCTCATACAATCAGCTGCATTGTTACTTCTTGTGGACAGCAGTGCAGGAAGCCTTGGGGCTCCAGTGGATACTCACATAGTGCCCTATGGTGCTGGCATAGGTGTCAGCGATCCAGGACATCTCCCGCTCGCCGGTGCTCATGTCCGGGGCAGGCACATCAATGCCAGGACCTGGGAGCACAGGGAAAGGGCAGTACGCCAGTTTTGAAGACAAACTTACCCCAGACCAAAAATCCTTGCAATTCTCTAAGAGAACAAAGTCACTGTGGCTAGAAAAGTTTAGATCTCATTTAGGTAAGGAAAGAACAGAAATCCTCATTACGTGTTTCTCTATATGTAGCACTTTCTCCTACTGGCATTTACAAGTCTGGAAGCTAGCTATGCACAATAGATAGAAGCCACCTCATGGGAGTTCTGAGTGTGATCACAGGCAAATCGATTTGGTCTCCCAAGTTCAGTTCCCTAAACTGTAATAGAGATAGCAGTACCATTTTGCTTGACATAAGCAGGATTATCATGGCAAGAGGATCCATATGAAGTACATAGCAACAGGCGGTTACTGGTTTATTCCTCCTTACCATCCTGAGAAGAGGGAAGTATCATTGTTGAAGCAATCATTTAATGCCCATAAAACTATAACTTGTGTTAGAATGATGCTCTGACCTATCCATTGTGCAGCGTGCTTAAAAATTTAAGCCTTGGCCTTTAATTCCTCAGGTCACTGCCAGCTCTAATGCTGATGGTCAGAGTGAACCCTGAGAAAATGTGTTCAGTGATGCTCACTCCAATCTGTAAAGGCAGGACTATGTAGAAATACTCCTCTCAAGACAAATTATAAACAAGGTCATTTACTATTTTCTTTGGATTTCAGCCTTCTTATAAAGTTACAACTATATAGTTAATTGTATTAGACAAACTCTTTCTAAAAACACAACTTTAAAAGTGGTTAAACTATTTTTTAATTCTCTTACAGGAAATCCTATAAATCTCATGCTATCTACCCTCCCTAGCACCCTCTCTCCACCAGCACTGCCACTTAAAGACTGAAACCCTGTTCTAGCCTCTTCCACTGGCAAAAGGGCTCCTCTTACCCTAGCTGCTCACTTTCATTCCTTGAAAATGACATACCCCAGCAGCTGCAGCTTAGTACAATTTTTCTATTTAATATTTCTTTTGTAAGGGACAAATGACACATTGCTACTACTATTTCTAGAGATAATCTTGTTTCTACCAACATGAAGAATAAGCATGTTGTTTCAAAGCAACAATTCCAATTGGCAAGCCTAAAATAGTTTGTGATTCAGAAAGTATATTAACTGGTCCTTAAAAATATTAGTTTAGGGCTGGGAAGGTGGCTCAGTGGTAGACTGCTTTCCTCACATGCATGAGGTCCTGGGTTAGATTCCTCAGCACCACATAAACAGAAAAAGCCGGAAGTGGTGCTGTGTCTCAAGTGGTGGAGCACTAGCCTTGAGCTGAAGAGGTGAGGGACAGCGCCCAGGCCCAGAGTTCAGGCCCCACGATCACCAAAAAAAAAAAATAAATAAAATAAATAAAATATTAGTTTAGAAAGACAACCTCCCCTACTGAAGATAAAATCAAAGTACTACTGGGTTTACGAATGTACTACTTCACAAAAATCAATCTATGGTGGCGGATTAACTACAAGTAACTACTGACTGCAAGTAGTCCCTGAATTGCAGAATTTATTTATAATATTTAACAAAAAGGTCTGTGGCAAAAGTCCATTTTTTTCTGAAAAAAAAATCAACATCTCTAAGAACATGAGTATAAGGTAAGAACTGAAGGTATATGTAGACATAGGAGATGAGAAGGTTGGAGACATAGGGACCTGCAGGGAAATGTCACAGTATGTACACAGTATGTTACAATCTGACACAAGGTAATAAATAATTTCAAACTTTTCAAAAAATTATGAGAAAGCAATACTTTCAAACTCATTCTATGGGGCTGATAATCACCTTGATACCAAAGCTAGAAAAAGATATTACAGGAAAACTACAGACCAAATACCTCTTACAATTGTACCAAAAGAAATAAGATATTTAGTTCTAAGCCTTCTAGACTGAGAACTATGAGACATTATTGAAAGAAGTTAGTGATCACAATAAATGGAAAGATAGTCTATGCTCATAGATTGGAAGAAAACATGGTTATGATGCCAACACCCCCCAAATTGGTCCATACTCAATACTTCACTATGAAAACCCCACCTGCTCCACTTCCCTCCAGCACCTGTCACTCCACCAGGATTGTGACAAGCTGATTCTGAAGTCATAAAATGAAACAATCAGAATTCAATCTCATAGCTCAGATTGTGTGAATCATTAGCTGACAGTTTATGGAAAGTCAAAAGAATAGACATGTAAACTTTGATGTCATTCAGTGTCTCCACAGTCACTTAACTTACTGGTCAAGATTCATTAAATTACGCTGGACTCACTCTAAATGTGAGCAATAATCAAGACTGGATAAAGGTTAAAACCAAAGCTATTAAAATGCTCAGGCTTAGAGATAAGATATAAACATCAGTGAAGGCCATCATGAAGCTAAACATGCTTTCAACTCATCATATCAGAATTAGGGAGCTTTCCCACAGGCGTGGATGAGGTAGTGAACATGCTGCCTCTGTCAGTATGCTTCCACTTTGCAAGGATGCGTAAGTTCCTGCTGCTATGGGGAATGGTGAGAACCCAAATGCTTTTTAAAATTTGGAATTCAGGCCAAATCTTGTAAAATTCCAGCTTTAGTTGTATTTATTTTATTTCCATAGTAGTTTACCTTATGCTTTAATTTTCTAAAAATGGGACAAATTTCAAAATATGAATACCTTAGTTTGCAAGTAAAGGGAATGTGGGGAAAAAAAGAGCAAAGGCAGGAAAGAAAAAAGGACTCATTGTTGTTTTTAGTCTTTTTTAGTGTTATGTGTGTAGGTATAATAAGGCAAACATTCTATTAATTTCTATTTATTTTATTCAAGCAAGTGAGAAGCTTTTTAGATCAAGAAAAGAAACATATATAAAAAATATAAGTAAGCCAGTTACCAGTGGCTTATGCCTGCAATGCTAGCTACTCAGAAGTCTGAGATCTAGGGATCACAGTTTAAAGCCAGTCTGGGCAGAAAAGTCCGTAAGACTCTTTTCTCCAATTAACCAATAAAAGCTGGATGTGGAGCTGTGGCCCACTCAGGGACAGTGTCCAGGCCCTGAGTTCAAGCCCCAGGACTGCTGCATATACATACACAAAAGTTAAGATTGCTTGAAAATTTATACATTGCAAAGAATCCTATCTCACACAGAATGTATAAACACAGACACTAGGAAGTAAGACAATAAATATCTAGCAAATGAGCACAAGTATACTTAGAACTGTATTGTTGTTGAGAACCACATTAGCTTCACTACCTATTTTTATTGCTTTAAAGCTACAGCTATACTGTTTAAAAAACAGTATCTCCAAAAAGCATCAGATTCCTCCCCACTTTTGGGAAGATAGGATGGTTATTTAAAAAAACTGATTTCTACATATAAATTTTTTTTTAAATGAATTCAGGTATTTCACATCCTAAGCATTTCAACTGGCTCAGTAGAGAAGCTATCAGAGAGTACACTGATTCAAACACTTAGGAGGCATGCACAAGAAGAGGACATGTACATTGACAGCCTGAACTTCCCTATTATGGATGTGTTATAAAGAGTCTGAGTATGTCTGCCTATGACATCTATCACAGAACCTGGCTTTTAGGTAAAAAAGGGCTCTGTGTTGAGGCACACATAAAAGATTTATCAGAATTACTTTGTAAGTCTCATTATACACAGAAAAGCATATAGCAATACATACCAATAAAGCCCTTCTTTGCTAGTTCCATGGTGAACCTCCTTGTGATCTTTTCCAATTCATTATCCTAGAAAAAGGGGTGGGGGGGGGGGTTGGGGGGGAGAAAACACCAATAACAAAACAATGGAGAAAATCATTTAGGGTTATTCATATTTTCCAAGCACAGTGCATTTCCATGTATTTCTTATTGTAATCCTCTGTATAACCACAACACATTTCCATTTTAAAGGCACAAAAAAGGATAAAAAATAAGATTATAGGGGATGAGGGTGAGCTTAGCATGCATGAGCTTCTGTACTCAATCTATGTAACAAAAAGGTTAGGAAAATGATGACAGAACTAGGACTCAACACCAGTTCCTTTTCTCCACTTAAAAGAAAAACACTAGGGGCTGGGAAGGTGGCTCAGTGGTAGAGAGCTTGCCTTTCATGCATGAGGCCCTGGGTTCGATTCCTCAGCACCACATAAGCAAAAAGAAAAAAGCTGGAAGTGGCCCTGTGGCTCAAGTGGTAGAGCGCTGGCCTTGAGCTGAAGAGCTGAGGGACAGCGCCCAGGCCCAGAGTTCAGGCCCCATGACCGGACCCTCCCCCCCAAAAAAGAAAAACACTAAACCTTAATCAAGCTTAACTGAAAAATGATACAGCCAAGTTTGGTGGCACATGTTTATAATCCCAGCACTCAGGAGGCTGAAGTGGACCTGGGTTACATATCAAGATCCTCTCAAAATGATATATTATATTCATATGGAACATGTGAACTATGTCTACATTCTCATTTAAATCGTACATTTTAAAGAGAATGATACGTATTTATTATGTTTTTATATAAAACATTAATTTACTAATGGGTAGATCACTCTAAAAACCAATTTTAATTATCTTGGAACTGATAGGATCAACAATATACTTTACTGGATTAAGATATTTGCTCCCTAAAAGATATATGTACTATAAATTTAGATCATAGTTTTAAATCATAGATGTGTCTGAATATATTAAAGTAGGAAAATGAAAAAAGGTACTGGTAAGTAGTTAAGTTTTTTGTATGACAACACACTCTATAAGGTAATTATTTGCTTTTTTCATACTGCTTCTGGAAATCATCAAAAACCATTAATCTCACTGGTACAGGGTATAAATAGAAATCCAAAATGTCTAGTTCTTTGGTAAATGCATTGTATGTGTATATCTGTCACTTTGTTACTTACTGTGTAGTTCTTGGGATTGATCTTAACACCGGCTTTAGCACCCCCAAACGGCACATCTGGAAGAGGAGACTAAAAGTTGTTACTCTATAAAGGTTAAAATACAGGTTGAGGATTTTCTTTTTTTTCTTTTCTTTTTTGCCAGTCATGGGGTCTGAACTCTGGGCCTGGGCACTGACCTTCAGCTCTTCAGCTCAAGGCTGAAGAGCCACAGTGTCACTTCTGGCTTTTTCTGCTTATGTGGTGCTGAGGAATTGAACCCAGGGCCTCATGCATGCAAGGCAAGCACTCTACCACTGAGCCACCTTCCCAGCCCCAGCTTGAGGATTTCTTATCTGAAATCAGAAGACTTTTTAGCTTTCTGATTTAAAAAGATCTGCATCTATATAATGCTGTATCTTGGGGATGGAATTCAAGTCTAAACAAGTGTATTCTGTTTTATGAAGACACAGAAGCCTATGGGAAATTTGGCATGACACTGTTAGTATGCTTGCTCTTTAATTGCCGGGTAACCATTGTATAAGGTCAAGTATGGAATTTTCTAATTGCTACATGTTGGAATTCAGAAAGATTCAAATTTTAGAGCACTCTGGATTTCAGATGTTTACAGATGTTCAACCTGTATTACAAAAATGTGAATGTACGGAAATGTAACAATGAAATCCCTCCCTGTATAACCAATGTAAGCTGAAAAAAAAAAAGGTGAGATGCCCTTTCAGAATACTCAAGAAATAAACTCACACCAATCTCTTCTAAAATAAACTTTTAACTAAAAACTAAGTTTTATCATTAAAACTAATTGAAAAATGTTTAAGACTTAGTATGCAACTAAAAACAAAAAAAATTCAGTTCTGATAAGATACATTTCTAAAACATAAAAATAAACCTTATATGTAAACATATAGTCCAAGAGTTATTAAGTAGCAACGAAGAGGATCACTTACCCACCACTGCACACTTATATGTCATCAGAGAAGCCAGGGCTTTTACTTCATCTACACTCACATCAGTGCTGTAACGGATACCTGGTGATGATTTTTATGAAAAAGAAAATAGGGGTGGCGGGAGAGGAGGGATATTTATTCAGAACAGATTTCCAGGAAGTTTCAAAACAAAGAAACACCCCAAATACAGGATCCATTTTATTATCCCTTTGCTTCTAAGAATACTTGAGCTAGCTTATGTGTAAGACCATAAAATAAAATGAAAAGCTGCTATGTAGATACCCAGAAAGTACTTCAGTATGAACACTGACTTTGGTTTAAAGTATTCCAACAGTGATGGTAAAGACCCTGCTGAGGCAGGGCTTTAGAGATGACAAAGGCAGTCCCTTGTCCTTGAGGAAATTACAACCTAGCAGGACATAACACTAACTGATTTCTCAAGACAAAATTTATCTTCAAATTAATGTTTTTAATGCTTTCCAGAAGGCAACTAAGTTAAGATTTTTTTCTTTTGTTGCCTGGTTTGGGTGAGTTTGTAGAAGTGATTTAAAAAAAAAATCTTTTTTTTTTTTTTTGCCAGTATCAGGATTTGAACTTGATCTTGCTTGGGTTGCTTACTCATATGACTGAACTCTACCACTTTTGAACCATGCCTCCAGTTAGTTTTTTGCTGATTATTTTGGTGATGGAGTTTTAGGATTTTGGGCCTCAATCTTCTGGCTCTCAGCCTCCTGAGTAGCTAGGATTACAGGCATGTACCCAGCTAGAATTCTGCTTTCTGATAATACATGAGCATAGGCAAATAGCATAGTTACTAGGTTTGAGAGATTTAACCTCAATACCAGATGTATAGATGGGGGCTCTGGTTTCAACTGAGATATACAAGAAAATCCTTTTTGTTAATCCCTTACCCAACTGTCAGCCTCTCTCAACTGGGAGATGAGAGAAGAAAGGCCATCTCCCCTTTTCGGGGGATAAGCACTTCTAGTTTTGCCTATACTTCTGTGCGGATTAGAGTTGGCCAGTGGATGACAACTCCAAATCTTAATGCTTCTGTACCTGAAGGCACCAGGTATTTGGTACAAGGAACACAGAGTGTGAGTTTGCTCTTTCCACTGGCTTTGGGAGTCTAAGTTTCACAGGGTTAGGCTGCCTTTCCTCTACGGTTTCTCAGCCCATGGCACCATGTGAACAACATTTATAGGAAGCTACCCTCTCTTGTAAGAACTCTGGGAACCACTGGCAGTTTGAGAAAACCTCTTTATTCTAGAAACTATCAATACAAATACTGATATGCTTCAAGAATGTTTTTCTATAGTACAACCATAAAGAGCAAATCCTTAGGGGCTGAAGGCATGCCTTCCAAGTGTGAAACCCTGAGTCCCACCACCATATGGGGGGCGGGGTGTATGTGGAGGAGCAAATTCTGACATGTGATATAAGCCTCCAACTATTAGGAGGCTAAGGCAGGAAAATAGTTCAGTCAGGGTTGGCTGGGAGGCTTTGGGTTTGATCCCTAGCCTAGCACCGAGGGTAATAAACATTCTCTTGTGAATAAAAGCAAAACAACTAGTGTGAGAGGGTGGTACATTCTTGTAGTTTTAGCCATGTGGAAGGCTGAGTCTAATATAGACATCACAAAAACTTCTCTCAACCAACTGCCTTGTCCCCAAATAAACCACAAAAAAGTTAGACACCAGTGGTTCATGTCCTTAGTCCTAGATTCTTAGGAGACTGGATAAGAGGCCAGCTCTGCCTAGACAGAAATCTTTGCAACTCCATCTCAATGGGAGAAACTGAGCTTAGTGGCATGCCCAAACAATGCAAAAATGGACTGTGTGGCTCAGCAGTAGAGTGCCTGCCTAGTATCACCCATCTCCTCAAAAAAAATTCTTCATATATAAGTGTAATCCAAATTTCTATTTAATTTTTTTTTTTTTTGGGTCGGTCGTGAGGCTTGAACTTTGGGCCTGGGTGCTGTCCCTCAGCTCTTCAGCTCAAGGCGAGCTCTACCACTTGAGCTACAGCGCCACTTCCGGTTTTCTGGTAGATTATTGGAGATAGGAGTCTCACGGTCTCTCCTGCCCGGGCTGTCTTTGAACCTCGATCCTCAGATCTCAGCCTCCTGAGTAGCTAGCTAGGATTACAGGCATGAGCCACCAGCGCCCGGCTCTATTTAATTTTAAGTCTTGGAACAATACTGGAAACTGTGTGTAACAAAAAACACATTGTTTTTACTGGATGGAACCTAAGTGTTCTTTGTAAAGGAAGAAAACTGCCCCCGGCTATACCCATTTGGAATTACCTGTTACACCACGGGCATTATTAGGCAGACTATGAATACAGAACTCTTATAGCACCATGGGCTGGGAAGGTGGCTCAGTGGTAGAGCGCTTGCCTTGCATGCCTGAGGCCCTGGGTTCGATTCCTTAGCACCACATAAGCAAAAAAGAACAAAGCCGGAAGTGGCACTGTGGCTCAAGTGGTAGACTGCTAGCCTTGAGCTGAAGAGCTGAGGGACAGTGCCCAGGCCCAGTGTTCAGGCCCCACGACCGGACCCCCCCCAAAAAAAAACAAAAACCAAAACTCTTATAGCACCAGAGTGGCTATCTGGAAAGCAGCAACAGCTTAGAGGAGTTAAGTCCTGGAGTAATATAGGTGGGGGCAGGTAAAGACAGAAACTGAAGCAAGGCACACAACAGAGTACACAAAGCTTTTACTTCTAGCAGTATACTAGTAGAGATGTAAGCTATTGACATGAAAAAATAAAAATCTCAAAGTACATTCACAAATAAAATATTACGTAGTAGTAGTTGAGACCAACTGCAGTAAACAGGATACACTCACATTCCAGGAAAGTTAGTTATTTTTATTCCTATGGGATCCCAAACCAAAGATAACCGCTAAAAATATACTGTTACTTGAATATTCTGCACTATATTCTAATGGAATAAAAGAATACAAAAAGGAAGATATTCTGTACAAAATTTATGCATTCAGTAGACATCAAGAAATGAGTACAAGGGGGCTGGGAAGTTGGCTCAGTGGTAGAGCGCTTGCCTTGCATGCATGAGGCCCTGGGTTCTATTCCTCAGCACCACATAAGCAGAAAAAGCCGGAAGTGGTGCTGTGGATCAAGTGGTAGAGCGCTAGCCTTGAGCTGAAGAGCTGAGGGTCAGTGCCCAGGCCCAGAGTTCAGGCCCCACAACCAACCAAAAAAAGAAAAAAAGGAAAGAAATGAGTAGAATAGGAGTGTGTGGACACAACAAAAGAATTTTTGAATGGTTATATATCTTAAGAATTCCTATTTTGCTTCCTAAGTTAAAAAAAGAAGGCCTCAAATAGATAATATATACATACACATTTTTAAAATAATCCCTAAAACTTCATGTATTGAAAGGAATTGCTTAGTTGCTCAATTCCTTGGGTATAGTTCATTTAGAAGATGGCCTGGCCCAGCCAGGCTGAATTTAAACCCCAGTATAGGAAACAAAACAACAACAACAAAGATGACTCTTACTTGCAATCTGAATATTGACACTTTTTCTATTTAAGCAAGTCCTCCTTTATCTGTGAGACAGACCAGTGCGGCACAGAAGCCAAAGGTGAGCAGGTCTACCAGGAATGGCCACTTCCCCCCTTGCAGCACTGGGTCTGGAATCCAGCCTCATACTTGCTAGGTTAACAGAGATTGAATGAGTGCAAATGGACAGAAAGTAGAAGAAATAATTTAATTTCAACAATGGAGAAAGGTAAATCTGTGAAGGATATTGGCCACAGATGGTTTTAATGAAAAGTAGGTAGTATTCCATGACTGACTGAGCCATGATGATTAATTGTAAAGCCAAATATCATTAGAAATGATGTCTAAAAGAAAGGACCATATTCTGACGGATGACAAAATAATCTATGCTCCTGCCCACCAGAGCAAACTAGAGAACCACCATAGCGATGTTTATACTCATCAACTGGGTAACAGTTGAATGAAGAGCAGAGGACAGAATGAAGTTCTTACTAAATAGAACTATGATAGACCTTCTTTTCCTTTTTTTTTAGTGTGTGTGCTGGTACTGGGGCTTTTGAACTCAGCCTTTTTTGGCTCAAGGCTGGAGCTCTACTACTTCAGCCATGTCTCCAGTTCCAGATCTTGCACTATTATATTTTTTGACAGTCCAGGGCTTGAACTTGGGGCCTGGGCACTGTCCCTGAGCTGCTTTTGCTCAAGGCTAGCACTCTGCCAAATGAGCCACAGTGCCACTTCTGGCCTTTTCTGTTTATGTGGTACTGAGGAATTGAACCCAGTGCTTCATGCCACACTAAGGCAAGCACTCTACTACTAAGCCACATTCCCGGCCCCAAATTTTGCATTCTTAAGAGAAACTGACTACAGCTGTTCTACATTAAAAAGAAAAAAAAAACACAAACACTAATGAAATATAGGAGGTATCTGTAAACTATACACAGAACAAAGCAGTTCTCTGTCTCTTAATATGACAAGATACTGCTTAGTATGCTCAAAAATTATGATTGGTACACACTAAAGTTTTTCTAGGAGAAATAAAAATCAAAAGCATAAACTAGCCTGAGTTACCATAGCAATCAAGAAAACAGACCCACTCAATATTTTGAATGATTCAGTGAAAACCACAAGTCACTAGTTTAAATTTTTCTTCCGTTTCATGGGTGACTCCAAACCAAACATTAAGCAAGAAACATATAACCTATTACCAGGTTTATGTGATGAGTCAGTAACTTTCAAGTGTTAGAAAAAGTATATAAACTGAGATATTTTTAATAGGATATTATTTATTCCCCAGAAAATTATAAACTATCAATATTATTTTACAAATACAGAGGAATTGCAGACTAGGGATTTGGTTCAGAAATAGAGGCATTTGCCTAGCATGGGCAAATACCTGGTATCTAGACTGAAACAAACTTTTACCACAAATAGAGCCCCCAGAAGAACAAGAAGGGCATTAAAACTTTTCAAACACATTCAAGATGATATTTAACACTGCTACCACTGACCAACCAGAACCTGTTTTCTCAATTTTGGTTTATTTTCTTCACTTATAATA